CAGCGTCTGGTGATGTCTATGCGTTCCAGACTTCAGGCCCTTTGATGGCTGTAAAGGGACTTTTGGCAATGGGGATATTTGTTCCTGGACTCAAAAAAAAAAAAAAAAAAAAAAAGGTTCACAAGTTCAGGATAGCATCCACCTGGCGGTAGATGTGTCCACTGTTGTGTCTAGATATGCTGGATGCATACCTAATTCTCCCGATCTGCTCAATTCCACAGTGTTTGCTGATTATTCACTGTACAGGGAAACCATATCAGTTTGTAGCCCTTTCCTCCGTCTTGAGTGTGTTTACAAAGGTATTTTCATGATGGCATACCTGGACAATTTACTGTGGAGGGAAAATGTATGCCTTTGTGGACAACCTTCAGATAACATTAGGGTTGATTTACTAAACCTGGAGAGTGCAAAATCTGATGCAACTCTACATACAAACCAGTCAGCTTCCAGGTTTTATTGTCAAAGCTTAATTGAACAAGCTGAAGTTAGGTGCTGATTGGCTACCATGCACGGCTGCACCAGATTTTGCACTCTCCAGTTTTAGTTAATCAACCCCATTGTGTACCCTAAAAGATATTGACTGAACAATTATCTTTGACCATCTCCTCACTCTGAATATCTTCGCATCATTTTGGACACTGGACTGACAAATGTTTTTTTACCACCTGAAAAACTGTAGAAGCTTCAGGATCGTGTTTAATATCTACAGAAGGATTCCTAGTCCTCCATTTGCTTTTGTATAGGAGTGTCGGGCTTCATAGTGACCAGATTTTGACGCAGTTACCATGCCACTCATGGTATTTGCAATGGGGAATGCTATGAAAGTGGAACAAGTCTGTTTTCTCTGATCAGGAAAAATCACCATGCAGATTTATCTCTGAAGTCTTATATCTCTTCTCTCGAAAGATACGATGACAGATGTGAGTAGCTATAGGGTGAAGTAATGGATTCCCTGGTGATTTAGAGTAGCTAGTCCAGGGAAGAAGCCTTGTTGCCAATAAACACTGACATGGCTTGCCATTAAACTGACTGTTTTTCACTGGACGTATCGTATGAGAGGTCATCTGATGAGAGCTCATTAGGACAATGCCAATGTGATAGTGCCTCCCTATTAGATTGATATGAGCTAAGAGCCTGGCAGTGTTGCTAGAAGTACAATATTCTACATTTGGGTGAAATGAGGCATTCAACGCTATTAGCAGTTTACATCACAGGTGGAAGAAAGTTGACAAGAGGAATATGTCCCAGGCATAGTTGGACTATTTCAGTGCCGAAGTCTAGACCTGGGGAAGCAGTCACTTTTACGCAGAGGTTTTTCAACTAATTTATGCCTGGTGCAGGATACGTATATCTGTTGCCTTAACATTTCCTGGAGTTTACAAGACCCATCTGACCTTTCATCTAAAGGACTTTCATCCTGCTTTAATGCCATGGCTTTTGAAACACCGGTTTTGAGATGAGGGGACTCTCAGAATTCATGATTCCAGCCTTAAGAAAGGCTTGCATGCCTATCTTACAGAATATTTACTCGTTTAAAAATGTATTTCAAGTTGTGCAACATTTTAGGCGTGCATGCCTTTTTTACTGATATGACAACAGGAAAAAAAAAACTATGTAAAAACAAAAAAGCTATTTTAATATTTCAATTTCCCATCCTGCTCTGTATAGTCACAGTGCTCTTCTGTCCTTTGTACACAGCCTGTGTCTAGAAACTCTGTTTTAGCACACCAGTAAGGACATCTTGTGAGTGCCCTGTCAACTCAAAGTGCAGACATACTGCTGCCAAGGTAGTGGAGAACGAGGCTGGAAAGAAACTGACTGTGTTGATAGAAGTAAAATTGGGAAGGTAGAAGAGATCTTCAAGATAAATGACAGGGCATAAACTCTGCTGCCAGGGAAGAGTAGGAACAAGAGTTTAACTTACAAATATACAGGACGCTTGGTATAATGGTATATTGAACAAACCAAACAGGAATAAGTTAGAGAAGTTGCTTGTCAGGGTTTACATACGTTTTAAATCCCAACTCTGGGCTCTGTTTGCCATGTATACCTTCAATCTCTGTCAATCCATCCCTCACGGTACACATTACATGATGTTCTCAGTGTTAGGGGGCATCACCAATGCAGTCCTGCGTCGATATATAATGGTTTTGGGAATGGTGCTAATGTCATTACCTCAGTTCTGCTCTCTGCATTATTGGAACTGCATAGCCATGACATGAGGACCCATGCAGTTTGATACTCATGTGCTGATTTGAGAAAAGAGAGTGCGTGTGTGTTTTTTTTTTTTTTTTTTTTTTTTTTTTTTTTTTTTTAATACTCAGTTTGGGGGACCTTTTTAAGAGAGGGAGGAGTAAAGTGACAAGCATTACAATGGATGCATCCATGGTGCTTTAGGCAGTTTATTTTACACTTTTTGCTTATAATGCCTTTTTCCTCAACTGGTTGCCTCTCTTCTTCATTGCAAAAGCAGACAATTAAACTTTTCAGTGAGCCTTCTTTATATATATATATATATATCTTCATAAAAAGTATGTAAAATTTGAATTTCCATAACCTTTTAAATGTTTGCCTTTTCAGATTACAGGAAGATCCTCCTGTTGGCGTGGCGTCAGTGGTGCACCATCTGAAAATAATATTTATGGTCTGGAATGCAGTCATTTTTGGGTATGTTTGTCCTTCAATTGACAACTTGGCTACTACACCTTAACCACTTCAATACTGGGCCAAATATTGACACTTCTCTCATACATGTAAATATCTGCATCCCCCAAACTATATATATATATATATATATATATATATATATATATATATATTTTTTTTTATTTATTTTTAAGCTGAGCCCCTGGAGAGTAAAATGGTTTGTCTTGCAATTTTTTTTTGCGCCACACAGTATTTGCACTGCTGTTTTTCAAATGCAAATATACTTTAAAGAGTTTTTAATGCAAAAAAAAAACACAATACCAATACCCAATTATTAGGTAAAATAGAAAAGCTGGCTTTACGCCAAGTAAATAGATGCCTAACATGACACACTTTAAAATTGTGTACGCCTGTGGAATGGCGACAAACAACAATACTTACAAACTTCCATAGGCAATGCTTTTAAAGTCTTTACAGGTTACCAGTTTAGAGTTACACAGAAGCTCTGGTGCTAGAACTATTGCTCTCGCTATAACGTTCACGGCAAAAGCTCACGTGTGCTGCTAAGACTGCTTACATATGTGTACAGGACCTACATATGCATTCACCTTTTTGTGCGTGCACAATGGGGTCAGTCACTTTTAAGTTTTTATTTATTTTATTTTAAAACAATTTTCTGACACTGTCTCCTTTACATTTTTTTAATCACTTTTATCGCTATCATAAGGGATGAACATCATCCCTTGTGATAGTATGGGTACTGACGGGTTACAGAGATATCTGCAAAGCTTTGTGTGTTTTATTTATATTATTAATATACACATTATGTTAAATCTATGTACTGCAGCATATTGTGGCACGTTGCTGTGCTTTCAAATGTGTTGTGATAAAATAATGCCCAGACTGGGCTAACAAACCCTAACAGTTCTAAACAGCCTCAGATTAAAGATCTCAATAGCTCAAGCTAACATTTACACAAAAGTTAAAAAAAAAATGACTCATCTCCCTCTCCTGTGCTCTCTCTGTATGGCCGTGACTGACTTTATGCTGTTCTCTCTTTAAAAAAATTGTACCACAGTAGATGTAGTAAGTGCTTGATTGTAAAGCAAAGATTGTAGACATTAAAAGGGGTGTATAAATTGGGTGAAATTGTAATAAAATAAACACAAAATTGTTATACTTGTTAACCACTTCCAGACCAGCGAGGTACCCGTACATTGCTGGATTTTCTGTGGTTGTACTGGAGTGATGACTGCAGCTTCAGGCATCACCCTGGTACCGGTTTTTAGAGCTGGCGGTCGGCTCTCTTGCACAAGCAATCGGAGCAGCTACTAGCCACTCAATTGCTGTACAAGTAGCAGGCGCGTCCTCTGGCTGGCCGAACAAACCAGGAATCAGCTTTGATTGGCTCTCCTTTATTGTAAATCGGATGCGATGACCTGACATCACTTCCTGTTTACTCGGCACAATTTTTATAAATCTGAAAACATTCAAAAAACACCGATCTTGGTGTTTTGACTGCTTTCAAGTGCAGAGGAGAGATTTGGGGTCTCTAGACCCCAGATCCTTCCATAAAAATTGCTGTCACAGAGCATGTTTACATTCCTTGTGATGGCAATAAAAGTGATTAACAAAAAAATTAAGTTGATAGTGTAAAAATAATAATAATAAAAAAAAAACTTATTCTCTAGGGCCTCTGCTTTAAAAATACACAATGTTTTTTAGGGTTCTAAGACATTTTCTAGCAAAAAAAATACTGATTTTGAAATGTAAACATAAGTGCCAGAAATGGCTTGGGGCTGAAGTGGTTAAAAAACTTAATTAGGAACTTAGTGAAAAATGTTTGCAGTTAGATTTTGCAAATTCTCCAGTAAAGTTTGTTTTTGCATGTATGGAATGAAATGGTCTTTTTTCCAAGAAACTGCACTGTGAATGGCCACAGAATGCAGTATTATCTTGTACTTTTACAAAATGGTGATGCTATACACTATTTAACTTCCACTGTATATTTCCTTTTTTTCCAGACCTGAAGGAACACCATTTGAGGATGGTAAGTTTCCTATAACTGTCGTGCTTAGGATGTGCACATCTGAGTGATGTTGACTGCAGTGTAACTTAAAAATGCATTTAAAGAAACCATCAAGGAGAAAAACCAAGGTTGCTTATGTTGACCTCCTAAAATGTTAGTTACCAGGTTTGTCTTTTGGCATTCCTGCCCCTGCCTTACCCTGGTAAACACATACAGTATACTACAAGACAGGTTAATGGTTAATGGATGGTGAAAGTTTTATATGCAGCTACAGTTGTGTTCAAAATAATAGCAGTGTGTTGAAAAAAGTGAATAACGCTTAAAATCCTTCTAATAGCTTTTATTTCCATACACACAAATGCATTGGGAACACTACACATTCTATTCCAAATCAAAACATGAAGATAAACCTATCAAATTTGTGTTGTTCCTATAAAAAAAAATTGAAGAAAAGTGAATATTAGACTGTTCAAAAAAAATAGCAGTGTTTGTATTCTTCTTTACAAACTCAAACATTCAGTATATAAACTGAAAAGTGTTTGAAGATTTTGCTTTCCTTTTGAATCACTTAATTTAATATTTAGTTGTATAAGCACTGTTTCTGAGAACTGCTGTACATCTGTGTTGCATGGAGTCAACAAACGTCTGGCACCTTTGAACAGGTATTCCAGCCCAGGATGATTGGACTACATTCCACAGTTCTTCTCTATTTCTTGGTTTTGCCTCAGAAACTGCATTTTTTTATGTCACCCCACAAGTTTTCTATTGGATTAAGATGCGGGGGATTGGGCTGGCCACTCCATAACGTCAATCTTGTTGGTCTGGAACCAAGATGTTGCACGTTTACTGGTGTGTTTGGGGTCGTTGTCTTGTTGGAACACCCATTTCAAGGGCATTTCCTCTTCAGCATAAGGCAGCATGAGCTCTTCAAGTATTCTGATGTATTCAAACTGATCCATGATCCCTGGTATGCGATAAATAGTAGTATGAGAAACATCCCCATATCATGATGCTTGCGTAACCATGCTTCACTGTCTTCACAGTGTACTGTGGCTTGAATTCAGTGTTTGGGGCTCGTCTGACAAACTGTCTCCGGCCACTAGACCCAAAAAGAACAATCTTACTTTCACCAGTCCACGAAATGTTGCGCCATTTCTCTTTAGACCAGTCAATGTGCTCTTTGACAAATTGTAACCTCTTCAGCACGTCTTTTTTTCAACAGTGGGACTTTGCGGGAACTTCTTGCAGATAGCTTGGCTTCACATAGACGTCTTCTAATTGTAACAGTACTCACAGGTAACTTTAGACCTTTGATCTTCCTGGAGCTGATTGTTGGCTGAGTCCTTGCCATTTTGGCTATTCTTCTATCAATTCGAATGGTAGTTTTTCACTTTCTTCCACGTCTTTCAGGTTTTGGTTGCCATTTTAAAGCATTTCGCGATCATTTTAGCTGAGCAGCCTATCATTTTCTGCACTTCTTTATATGTTTCCCCCTCTCCAATCAACTTTTTAATCAAGGTACGCTGTTCTTCTGAACAATGTCTGGAACGACCCATTTTCCTGAGAATTTCAGAGAGAAATGCACTGTAACCAGTATGTACAACATTAGCTGCATTCCTTCCTTTTAAGGGCAATAATTGCTACCTGTTTTTCAAAGAATGAATGACCTCCCTAATAGAACTCCACACTATTTTGAACATGCCCCTTTCAATTAGTGATTTAATTACACAGAATCAGCAGCATGCATGTCATGACTGCTGGGTCTGTTGGATTTCTATTACTCTACTACACCTGCTAGTAAATTATTTGCCATGTAGAAATATAATTTCTACCAAAAACAGTGATTGATCAGGTTAGTGATGTCTGACTGCTATTATTTTGAACACAACTGTATATAGCCTCTGTCCTCCCTAAGGATCATGCACTATAAATTGTGGGGCCGAAGAAGAGGGCTAATAGAATGGTATAACTTTGTTTATGTTGAAGGGATGCTCCATGAGACCCCCTCCAAGTGTTTCACAGAGCATGAGAAAGTGGGATATTTAGAACCCACGAAACACATCAAGACATAACTTGAAATCCCACCCTGCTACTATCATCTAGCATCTTAAAGTCATTTGATGTGACTACAACAAAGGATGTGTATATTCTCAGAGTAGGGTGGGAAAGCCATTGTTCTACGGTGAAACAACTGTGTTTTTTTTAATGTCAATGCATTGTGGATCTGTAAATCGAGCATGTGTGGCCCTAATACATTGTACTTTTAATATTTTGTGAATACATTTTGTATAATTTTAATAGTGGTGTATATTATTAAATGTAGAGTGTATTATGTACTTATACAGTCCCTTTTTGTAGTGTATTTTTTGTATAGAGGTACTTTTGTGACCAGGTTGCCTCGACCCTTTTACTTGAGCTTTTTGAGTCGCTGAGTTGGGGGATAATGTAAACTGACCAAACCTTCCTGATCTGCTTACTTGTTTGTGGCATTGTGACCAAAAAATGATTGAAGTCAGAGAGTCATCTTTGCAGTCAATTTACAATTCCAGGAATTTAGCAAAGGTCGGCAATTTGTGTGTCTCATTATAGGTTAACTTTATGCTACACAGCCATGTCACTAGGGACTGGTACACACTACAATTTTTTCTTTTTTTTTTGTTCAATCCAGTGGGCTGAACGAAAAAATAAAAAAGCTGACCGTAGAGGAGGAGCCGCTGTACTATCTGTAACTATCCGATGTTCGTACAGCAATCTCCCCTGTTGTGCTATTGTGTTTTGACGGGGGGGGGGGGAATTGCCCCTCACCAGAACATTTGTCAGTGCTCTCAGCCAATGGCTGAGAGTACTGATCGGGAGTCGATCGACATACCTTTTTCGGACATGCCCGATATTCGGCCCTTGTGTACTAGACTTTAGACCTGTTGAGTTATAATAGAGAATACAGATTGTGATAGTTGATATTGCTTCAGTTTGTAAACTTTACTTTTTCCTGGGGCAGAATCATTGAACCTGGAAGATATATTGCTTAATCGGCAATTACGTTGTCTCCTATCTGGCTTTGCAGTGTGAAAAGAGTTTGCATTTATCTGTGTATTTACCAGTTTGTCTGGGTTTTTCTTTAATATCATAAATTTATGTGAATTGTCTGCTTGCTGTTCCATATATTCCTGTGTTTAAAACTAGACTTGACTTTTCTGAAAGAATGTAAACCGTTTTATTTCTTACATTGCTGTCAAAACATTTCTGTTTGTGTGTATATAATAAGCCCCAAAGCCTGGGGTTCACAGTGACTGCTTTCATGCTTGCCTCCATTAAGCCCTACAAATTAAAAAAACAAAACAAAAAAATACTGTTTGGTCCCTCTTTAACATCCTATTTATATGTTATCACTCCTATGCTTATTGGAGAGAAATTGACTTCAAATACATTGCAAATAAGAACTGAAGAAGTGAAAAAAGGAGTTACATTTACTTGTGAAGTGAAGTGGCACGATTTCAAAGTCGGGTGAGATGCTGATTGCAGGTGCGATTTTTCAAGACATCTGACACAGATGTCTATGCAAATTTCACCAAAAGTAGTACGTGTACTACTTTAGAAATCGGTGCGGCTCCGACCAAGTCGGAACTGCACTGATTTGACCACTGTAGGGTGCAATTTGGCATATGATTTGCAATTCGCATGGCATGCAAATCTCATGCCAAATCACACCCGATGTGACCGGGGTGTTATGCGTTGACCTCTTATACGCAAAATAGGAAGAAATTGGCCATACAAGTATCATGAAAGAAAACATTCACCATAGTCCACAACCCTTCACATCATGGCACAAATCATCCCCTTGGAGAGGCCTTGCTATCAATGTACGGCAACTTCACATATTATAGTAATATCAAATTGGAGGCATGTGCATCAAACCTTCACCTTGTATAACAACCCATTCAGTTTAAAATAAAAATGAAAGGCCAAACATTTGTGTATAGATAAGAAAAAAAAATTTGAAATCCTTTTTTTCCCTTTTTTATAAGTGATCACATTAACTCTATTCTCAGCTGCTTAAGAGCTGAAAGGAGAAACAGCAGTACACTGAACTTTCCAGTGAAAGGTTGTGTGGGGGGGCATGTCAGGTTAAGTCTGACCATTGGAGGAGAGCCGCCTCCATTGCCAGCATAGCTAGAGAACTGACCACGGTGTGTTATCCTGCCTAGTGTGGTCGTTTAGTAGAAAGAGGGGGAAGACTGTCAGGAACACCAGGGATATCACACAAAGGAAGCAACACAAAGAAAACAAGATACCTTTTCATATAAGTACATGGTACAGCAGGAACATATCAGGAATTTGAAATGTTGGGTGTACATACGCTTTAATGTTTGTACTAAAGTCTCTTGTTTAACAATCCAAAAGGAGGAATATCCCTAAGGCGTTATAAGAACTTTTGCACACTGGCCCTCACTGCAAGCTTGGTCAGCATGCTGCTACTGTGGCATACAGCATCTGATTTGTCCAGTTAGGTGAAGGGCGGTTGAATAGGGAAAAAGTTGACCTCCGTGATAACTTGTATGGCCTGAATTATGAGTATTCACAGACATAGAAAGACGGGGGGATGTTGTTTGGTCTTATTTGAGAGAAAAAAAAAAAAAATCTGTCAATGTGCTTCACTTTAGCAGATGTGCGGGGTTGCCAACAATTCTTAATGGCACCCCCACTCATCAGCACCTATGGTATATTTTCGCACATGCCAAACCACATGGTGTTGTTGCAAATGCGCATGCACAGATCTGAACCAAGCCTCATATCAAAACACACACACTTCACCCCCGCTTTCTCTCCTGCCTTACACAGTCAGGGCTGAGAGTAGAAGGCATAGCAGGTCTGGACAGAAAGAAATAAGCAAATAAGCTGGTCATTGATTGTTAGGGCTGCTCTGCATCCAAGCAACCTTATGTTTGTTGTCTCTGGCTACCCCTGCCCTCCTGTCTGAGAATGACTGTGGTGATGGCTGCTGGGCAGAACGTCTCCCAAATAGTGGTACTGTGGTGGCCCGGATGGGACATTCACACGGTCCAGATTCTAATTGTGGTCTGCCATTTAGTGGTGCCTGGCATACATTGTGCATTCACTAGAAGGCCCTATGTCAGTGGTGGGCAACCTTTTTTTTCAACTGAGCCAAATCTCACCAAAACCACGATGAAATTTATTTTGAGAGCCACATTTTTAAAACTGAAAATACATCCCCCATATAGTAATTCATCCCCCATATTGTGTCAATTCACTTACCTTTGCTCCGCGCGTTCCTCTCGCCGTGTTCCCGCGCCCATTCCGGTCTTCAGGGCGGACTGTGAGAGGAGAGGAGTTCGTCACGCTGCCCCGCCTACATCCTGACAGCCAATGTTTGCCACACTCCGCGGGCCGGATTAAAAGGTCCGCTGGGCCGTAGTTTGCCCATTGCTGGGCTAGCTGCAGAGTCCTGACTTTTGGGGCGGCCGCCCGAGAGGAGGGAGGGGAGCGGGCGCCCGGCACACAGAAGAGCCGCATTAAAGTGTGCAAAGAGCCGCATGTGGCTCGCGAGTCACGGCTTGCCGACCACTGCCCTATGTAAATTAAAACACTGCAGATAACATTGACATGCTTGATTACGTTTAATAACATTTTATTGAACATATCTAACTTGAGCTTTCTTTTGGGAAACCATTAAATCGGTGGGTTTGGTTCCCCTTGGGTGCAATATAAACACCTTTTCCAATTTTTACTTCTAAACTGCTTCTTACTTCATTGTCTATTACACTGCTGTAATTTTACAGGGGAATAATTTTACTTTAGTTTTCTATGGTTTTAATTGAATGAATTATTTTTTTATATAGTGACTAGTTTTCCTAAGATTCTTGGTAATGTAACGCTATGACAATGGCAATTGTTTTTGTTTTTTTTTTTTTGTTAATGAATGGATTGAGCAGATTTTATTCATCAAAATCTAGATCCACTGATTTGCCATTAGATTCAATTTCTTTTTTCTCTCTTCCTCCAGGAACATTTAAACTTATTATAGAATTTTCGGAAGAATATCCAAATAAACCTCCAACTGTTAGATTTGTGTCAAAAATGTTTCATCCAAATGGTAAGTGCTTGTTGGAAACAAGTAATAAAATTGGTTGTTTTTAAAACTGCTTCCTATTTATACATTGAACAGTTCTAATCCTAAAGTTACACTGCAATCAAAATTAGACAAGCTGCCTGTGCTTTACTTTTAGTTTTTTACATAGGCATAAATGTAGTGAATTGGCCCACCTCACTGGTGTTCTGAAAACTCCTGCTTGTGAAGTAATAGTGCTATTCTCAAACATAACTATTGCCGGATTTTGATGACTCTCATAATAAGCCTGATGGAAGTCTGTTCTAGAATGTTTAAATGTTGTGTTTGTAAATGTTTAAATGGAAGTGGGGATACAGGCAACTGAGGGAGAGAGATTGAATGAACTGTAGAACACTGTTTTTTACTATGTGATCATTTTGGTGACAGGAGGATACACCGAACTCGAATGTGAGTAAGATGGGGAAAAAAGTAAGTAAGTAGGTGGGGGGGGAAGTAAGTAACTTTCTTTTGGGTGCAGCGTTGCATGACTGCGCAATTGTCAGGTAAAGTAATGCAGCGCCGTAATGCAAAAGATGGCCTAGTCAGGAAGGGGGGTAAATCCTCTGGAGGTCAAGTGGTTAAAGCTTAATTGAACAAGCTGAAGTTAGATGGTGATTGGTTACCATGCACAGCTGCACCAGTTTTAGTAAATCTCCCCCAGTATGTCTATTATATTTAAATTTTACTTCCACACTCCGCTGCAGTTAATCAAGCACAGACTGTACTTGAACAGCTGCTTCCCAGACTACAGGAGCTGAGAAATGAATGAACTGAAAGCAAGAGAGCCCAGAAACCACTGTAGGCGGTACTGAAAAGTGATCAGGTGGCTCTAGCTCTGCTCCAGGATCACTTTTACTGAGAAAAAAAAGCTTACAGCTGTAGCCGCTAGCTTGTTTTGACCACTTGAAGCCCCTGCTGGTTTTTTTTTTTTTTTTTTATAAAATGCCATACAGATAAGTGTTTAACCTGAAGCTGCAAGTGGCTATGGCCACCTTGGGACTGGCTTCTTTTGGTTTTTGTAACTTTGTGCCAACTTTTGGTGGCAGGGTAATTCACTTTTATCACGAAATAAAGATACGTGTCCCTAAATAATGGAGAAGGGCTAGTTTCATGGCTGCCCTTCAATTTTTCAAGTTGCTGATTTGAAACAAGAATTCAGATTAGAAAATATGACTTGACTTGATTTTGACTTTTATGGTTTTGAGTTGATCTGAATTCTTGTTTTGGGTCAGTATTTACAGAAGGCAATGCTATGTGAGACAACCAGGCAGCTAACATTTTCAAAGAGGTCAGCAATGGCATCCTCGGTTATTTCTCACATTACAGATTTCTGAACTGTTGTCTTCCTCTAGAAAAAAAAAAACATTTACCGCATTTTCCGGCGTATAAGACGACCCCCTACTTTTCCAAAATATAGGGTTTGCGCTATACTTGCCGTATAAGACTACCCCTTTTCCAACGCATACCAAATAAAAATTAAAAAAACATCAGATTTGATTTCAATATGGTATGGTATTCCAATGATGGGGCACGATTCCTCCCACTGACACCAATGATGGGGCACGATTCCTCCCACTGACACCAATGATGGGGCACGATTCCTCCCACTGACACCAATGATGGGGCACGATTCCTCCCACTGACACCAATGATGATGGGGCACGATTCCTCCCACTGACACCAATGATGGGGCACGATTCCTCCCACTGACACCAATGATGGGGCACGATTCCTCCCACTGACACCAATGATGGGGCACGATTCCTCCCACTGACACCAATGATGGGGCACGATTCCTCCCACTGACACCAATGATGGGGCACGATTCCTCCCACTGACACCAATGATGGGGCACGATTCCTCCCACTGACACCAATGATGGGGCACGATTCCTCCCACTGACACCAATGATGAGGCACTATGGTGCCCCATCATTAGTGTCAGTGTGTGAAGAATAGTGTCCCATCAGTGTCAGTGGAAGGAATAGTGCCCCATCATTGGTTTCAGAGCAAAGAATCCTGCCCCATCATTGGTGTCAGTGGGAGGAATAGCGCCCCATCATTGGTGTCAGTGGGAGGAATCGTGCCCCATCATTGGTGTCAGAGCAACGAATCGTGCCCCATCATTGGTGTCAGTGGGAGGAATCGCACCCCATCATTGGTGTCAGTGGGAAGAATCGCGCCCCATGATTGGTGTCAGTGGGAGGAATAACGCCCCATGATTGGTGTCAGTGGGAGGAATAACGCCCCATGATTGGTGTCAGTGGGAGGAATAACGCCCCATGATTGGTGTCAGTGGGAGGAATAGCGCCCCATGATTGGTGTCAGTGGGAGGAATAGCGCCCCATGATTGGTGTCAGTGGGAGGAATAGCGCCCCATGATTGGTGTCAGTGGGAGGAATAGCGCCCCATGATTGGTGTCAGTGGGAGGAATAGCGCCCCATGATTGGTGTCAGTGGGAGGAATAGCGCCCCATGATTGGTGTCAGTGGGAGGAATAGCGCCCCATGATTGGTGTCAGTGGGAGGAATAGCGCCCCATGATTGGTGTCAGTGGGAGGAATAGCGCCCCATGATTGGTGTCAGTGGGAGGAATAGCGCCCCATGATTGGTGTCAGTGGGAGGAATAGCGCCCCATGATTGGTGTCAGTGGGAGGAATAGTACCCAGTCAGTGGGGGGAGGAATAGTGCCCCATCGTTGGTGTCAGTGGAAGGAATAGTGCCCCATCGTTGGTGTCAGTGGAAGGAATAGTGCCCTATCATTAGTATCAGTGACACCAATGATGGGGCACTATTCCTCCCACTCCGCCTCCTCGCCTGTGATTGGCCGCCTGTGTGCCTTTCCTGAGCTACAGTTCTGGCGGCCAATCACCGGTGAGGAGGCGGAGCCGAGCGGCAGGCGTGAGGGAGTGACTGAAGGAGCAGCGCTTCCTGGACTGGATCGTCGTGGGACCGGAGCCAGGTAAGAGACAGCATCCCTCTGCCCACCCCTGTACTTAGTGTCCCTTCCGTCGGAAGGGGGGGGGGCGGCAGCGGCACCGCGCCTCCCCCCCCCCCTAAAAAGTGCCGCCCTGACTTATACCGGTGTATAAGACGACCCCTGACTTTTTTGAGAAGATTTTCAAGGGTCAAAAAGTCGTCTTATACGCCGAAAAAACGGTAATTTCTTTATGGTTTTTAATTTCTCTTCAAGCTTTAAGGATGCAGAGTGGTAATACAAGCACTGCTCTTGGGGAGGGACTCAGGAAAATATGCACCAAACACTCAGTCATACATAGTTTGTAAATTGAATGTTGCTGTTGGTGGGAAAAGGGGAACGGTGTTCTCACTCATTGGTTTCCACACACAGTCACAGACATTCCGCTGCTGCCCTGCATAGGCTATCTATAGGGGGAATCACAAATCATTTCAAATACAAAGGCCTGCAAGGTAATACATTTCAAAAATTGAGAATCAGAAATATAAAAATATAACTTTACTGTGGCTGCAGACTTTTTGTCATGTTCAGCTGGCTAATTGTAGATGTTTATTAAAACTGTAAACTTGTTATATATTTGTGGCTTAAATTAAAACAAGACTCTTGCTAATGTGTTTCTTGTAGTTTATGCTGATGGAAGCATATGTTTAGATATCCTTCAGAACCGCTGGAGCCCAACTTATGATGTTTCATCTATTTTGACGTCCATTCAGGTAAACAATTATATTTTTTAGCTAAAAGAGGATGACATACTTAAACCCAGGAATAGTCTTAAAGGTACATTGCGAGGTATCATCATTGATTGTGTATGTGGGAACACACACACACTCACACACTCTCTCTCTCTTTATTTTTAAAGAGGACCTGAACTGTAAAGCGGAGCACAAAGAAATAGCTGCCAGTATTGCCTTTTAGGCACCATGCAACTGATATTTTTCCCATAATTTATTTAAATTTCCTCTTTTGCACTGTCTTGGTGTGGGCATGGCAATCTTGGAAGATGGCTTTGCTTCCTCATATCAGAGTTGCACCTCTGATGACTGGTGATCTGATTACTAGTCAAGAAATATTCAAGAAGCAGCACAAGAGGTACAGGAAACACACTGTTGATGAAGTAGAAACTGGGAGATGGTTACATTCTTATATGCTTTGTCTCTAGCAAGAACCGTGAATAGCATTGTAAGGACATCACTAAATCTTGTGAGAACAGCAGTTGCAGGGAACAGTGTATAGATATACAGCTATGAGGCTCTCCAGCCTTGGCCAAATTTTTGAGACTGACACAAATTTTAATTTTCACAAAGTCTGCTGCCTCAGTTTTTATGATGGCAATTTGCATATACTCCAGAATGTTATGAAGAGTGATCAGATGAATTGCAAAGTCCCTCTTTGCCATGAAAATGAACTTAACCCAAAAACACATTTCCACTTCATTTCAGCCCTGCCACAAAAAGAGCAACTGCCATCATGTTAGTGATTCTCTCGTTAACACAGGTGTCAGTGTTGATGAGGACAAGGCTGGAGATCACTCTGTCATGCTGACCGAGTTAGAATAACAGACTGGAAGCTTTAAAAGGAGGGTGGTGCTCGAAATCCTTGTTATTCCTCTGTTAACCATGGTTACCTGCAAGGAAACACATGTAGTCATCATTGCTTTGCACAAAAAGGGATTCACAGACAAGGATATTGCTGCTACTAAGATTACACCTAAATCAACCATTTTTCGGATCATCAAGAACTTCAAGGAGAGAGGTTCAGTTGTGAAGAAGGCTTCAGGACGCCCAAAAAAGTCCAGCAAGTGCCAGGACTGTCTCCTAAAGTTGATTAAGTTGCGGGATCAGGGCACCACCAGTGCAGAGTTTGCTCAGGAATAGCAGCAGGCAGATGTGAGTACATCTGCACTCACAGTGAGGCGAAGAATTTTGGAGGATGGCCTGGTGTTAAGAAGGGCAGCAAACAAGCCTCTCCTCTCCAAGGAAAAAACATCAGGGACAGACTGATATTCTGCAAAAGGTACAGGGATTGGACTGCTCTGGACTGGGCTAGAGTAATTTTCTCTGATGAATCCACTTTCCGATTGTTTGGGGTATCTGGAAAAAACCTTGTGTGGAGAAGAAAAGGTGAGCGCTACCATCAGTCCTGTGTCATGCCAACAGTAAAGCATCCTTAGACCATTCATGTTTGGGGTTGCTTCTCAACTAAGGGAGGGTGGGCTCACTCACAATTTTGCCATGAATAAAAAGAATGGTACAAAAACATCCTCCGAGAGCAACTTCTCCCAACCATCCAAGAACAGTTTGACGAACAATGCCTTTTCCAGCATGATGAAGCACCTTGCCATAAGGTAAAAGTGATAACTAAGTGGCTTAAGGGAACAAAACATCGAAATTTTGGGTCAATGGCCAGGAAAACTCCCCAGACCTTAGTACCCTTGAGAACTTGTGATCAATCCTCAAGAGGTGGATGAACAAAAAACCCCACAAATTCTGACAAACTCCAAGCATTGATGATGCATGAATGAGCTGCCATAAGTCAGGATGTGGCCCAGAAGTTGATTGACAGCATGCCAGGGTGAATTGCAGAGGTCGTGAAAAAGAAGGGTCAACCTTGCAAATATTGACTCTTTGCAAAAACTTAATGTAGTTGTCAATTTAAACCTTTGACACATATGAAATGCTTGTAATTATACTTCAGTATACCATAGTAACCTCTGATCTAAATACACTTAAGCAGCAGACTTTGTGAAAATTTAGAAAGTTGTGTAATTCTCAAAACTTTTGGATGTAGGCACAGGAGTGTCAAACACCAGCACTGCTATTTTTAGGGAAGATATATTATTTTTATTTATTTATTTAGGCACAAGTAACACTTGTAGATATTACCTATAAGATGGCAGACCTTCATTTTTGAGTTTGTCAGTTTTAAAGCAAGCCTTGCAGCTAGAACTAATTAGCATCCATCTGTATTCTCCATGCAAAATCACTCCAGAGTCCCAATAAAAAAAGAAAAGGTACTAGCAATAAAAAGTTCCCTTTAGACTCTGGTTTTAAAGTGGTTTTAAACCTTTGGGTTTTTGTTTTTTAACCACTTCAGCTCTGGAAGAATTAACACCCTTTAAGACCAGGCCATTTTTTGCTATTCAACACTGCACTACTTTAATTGGCAATTGCGTGGCCATGCAGCGCTGTATACAAATTAAATTTTATATAATTTTTTTCACACAGATGGGGCCTTCTTTTGGAGGTGTTTTATCACCACTGGTTTTTTATAAAAAAAAAAGATAGAAAATATATTTTTTCAAAATTTTCAGTTATAAAACATATCCAATAAATAAAATAAATCTATTTTCTTTATAAATTTAGGCCAAAATGTTTTCTGCTACATGTCTTTTGGTAAAAAAAAAAAAAAAAAAAAAATCTCAAGAGTATACTATTTTGTCTGTAGAAAAGCATAGCATATAGCATCCACAAACTATGGAATATATATTTGATAATTGATCAATTCTGATTTACTGATGGATGATCTCATTTCTTGAGGCCCTTAAAATGTTAGGAAATTGTAAATAGCCCCAAATGACCCCTTTTTGGGAAAATAGACGGTTTGAGGTATTTAGTAAGAGATATGGCAAGTTTTGACGTTTGTAATTTTGTTTTTCACAATTTTTTTGAAAATGAAGAAATTACAGCACAGCGTCATGATATATGATTGGTGTGGGCGGTGATCAGGGACACTGATTGGTGACAGTTCAGTAACATTGTACTACTCTGAAAGGGGGTGATCATGGATTTTTTTTTTTTTACACTTTGCTGGTACAATGAAGATCATTGTACCAGCAATGCTTTTAACTGTCCATAACAGCTGTGAATACTAGTGATCTGTGATTCGCTACAGCTAACCACATGGCACAGGTGCTAGGATTGGTCCAGTTGCGATGTGATAGCTGTGAGCCAATAACAGCTCACTAGTAAAGGAAGCCAAGCTATTATGAGTCATACATAACCTCTTTGTTGACATTATGATCGTGTGATCACATAACTACCACATAATCACTGGGATCCACATTCCGTACAGCGCTTCCCTGTGTCTGTACAGGCAAAATGACGTACAGCTACGTTGCTTTGCCTGTACATGACATCCACCCACAGTAAATGTAATGTGGGCGGTTGGCAAGTGGTTAATTAAAATAATAAGGAGGTTGCACAGAGCAGCGCTGATCCTCCTCTTCTAGTTCTGGGGTCCCCCGCCAGTGCTCCAGGCTTCTCTTGTTCTCCATGTGCCACCATAGGTATTTGCTTCCTATGGTGGCACACATGCAGGCATGCTCACGAGCCCTGCTCTGTGTCCATTGACACATACAGCATGGTATGGCTGCACCCCCTGCTCACAGGATTTGTTTGACAGTAGCATGAGCCAATGGCTCCCGCGGCTGTCTCTCTGACCTGTTTGAGAGAAGATAGCCGCTGCAGAGGAGCATAGTGCTAGAGTGAAGGGGCAATACAAACGCTGGGGTATTTTTTACCTTAATGCAAAGAATGCTTTATAGTAAGAAATGTTTTCCCTTTAGAACCACTTTAAGGTAAACTCAGCTAGCAGCTTGCTAACATCATATGGCCTTTCCACAACTTCCTGGAGAACTTGAGGATTCCATATCTCTTGAGAATGTGCTGGTCCCTAGATTTGGTTGTGGGACATCACTGATGCCTTTGGTGAGTGGGCAGGAAGATGAAGTCTAAGGCAAGCAACTTTTAGTTATTTAGGGTGATGTGGGTTTTTTGCTTTTGTTAGAACAGTGTTTCTCAACCTTTTTTACCTTCAAGGAACCCCTGGCAAAAAGTTTGAGATCTCGGGGAACCACTGAAATAACATTTAGCTCTACAGCTCACGGAGCATTGGTGTGATCAGCAAGCTGTGCTATAAAAACAATTATTTTAAGAAATGGCATTAAATAATAGAAAAAAATATTAAAACTTACCTGTTTTAAGTTAGCAGCAGGATAAAGCACAGGAGGACACAATACAGGGGGGAAACCAGGGCACATTACATGGGGGGCACATTATGGGGAGCATTACATGGGGGGGGGGGCAGCAGGGCACACAGGAGAACATGGTGCGCATCATAAGGCACACAGCAGGGCACAGGGCAGAATATGGGGCACACAGCAGAACATGGAGCCCATCATGGACCTCACGGCAAAACATGGGGAAGACAGCAGAACATGGGGTGCCTCACAGGGCACACAGCAGAACATGGGGCACGCAGAATAACATGGGGTGCAGGACACACAGAAGGGTATAGGGCACAAAGCAAGTGTAGTATGGGATGCAGCTGTAATAAAATCTCATAGCGTGATTCTTTCCGCCGGCCCCTCTTCTCCATCCCAGTTGATGTCACATACAAGCACCTGGGGTGGACTGGATGAAAGGAGGGGTAGGCAGGAAGGGTCGCACTATAAGAGAGGTCTTATTACAGCTGCTACCTGCACTACTCTGCATGTGTTTGCTGAGATTCTATCTACACGTCAGCTGTCTTTGTTTGACGGGTAGATTGCTGTGGAACCCTAGGGTTCACCCGAACTCCAATTGAGAAACACTGGTTTAGAACTACTGATTTTTGCATGGGGAAGCTAACGGGTTTTAGTTTGGTTTTGGCTGCAAGGTCTGCGTTAATGGAAATTTTTAATGAAAAGTTATAGGAGTTGTTCTTGCTGTTGTCTTTACTTTCAGAAAATACTAGCTGCTTTGTCATAATTCTGCCACTTTGAGTTCAATAGTTTTGAGTCTATAGCCTAAAACAAGTATTAAGCGGATTTGGATTTTTTTTCCTGCCTTTATTTTGCTACATGCTTTATTTTCAGAAGGTTAGCACTGGCACCCTCCATATTTCTTTCATGATATGTATATTTTTATACAGCTTCCACATTGTTTTTGCTATTATGGTAATAGAGATTTGTAGGTTGGCCACTAGAGGGAAATCTGTATTTCAATCAGAAGATAGAATTACCAGCTCCTGTTCAGTTCTGCAAATGTGTACATAAAATTTATATAATCTGCTTGTCTACTGATATAAGATTTTTTTTCTTTTTTTTTCCTCCCCAGTCTCTTCTTGATGAACCAAATCCTAATAGCCCTGCGAACAGTCAAGCTGCACAACTTTATCAGGAAAACAAACGCGAATATGAAAAAAGAGTGTCTGCTATTGTTGAGCAAAGCTGGAACGATTCCTAATATTCTGTGTACCACCTTTTTTGTGTACAATTTAACTTCATAAGAGACAGAAATGGAGGTACTACAAATACCACAAGATTAAAAGTTTTAAATACGTTGATGGCAGACACAGAATTCTCCAAGTTTCCTCCATTGTGCTCATGTTTGGAAACTGTAAAAGCTTGTGTATCTCTAGTGTATTTTTTTACTGCATGTTGTGCATGGTTTAAAAATAAGTTATTGCTACATTTGTAATATATCCGGTTTGTATTTTTTCTTCTCCTTGATGTATAACATTGGCATGGAATTTCCATGAAAATACACATTTTTGTAAATCTTTTTCTTTTTCTCCAAAAAATTGGATGCTTCAGTTTTGTGACTTTTATTTCCTTTTTTTTTTTTTTAATAGCAGGTGAGCACTTAATTTTTATTATATATATATTTTTTTTTTTTTTAGTTTTTTTTTTAGTTTTTATTTTAAAATGAGCTGTTTAAATTAACTTACAATAGAGTTGAGATTTTTATATATATATAAAATTTTTTTTTTTTTTCTCTCTGATTAGTTGTGTTAAAAAAGAACTTTAGCTGAAATAATGCTAGCAGGAAGGCATTTATTGCAAAGACTTAGTTTATTTCTTTTGCAATGAAAGCTTCCTGTTACCAAGTCTCTTGAAAGTTTGTACACTGAGCTCAGTGTCCAGTCACAGAATGCCTTGGTGCCAGGATGAATTAACGCCTGTGCGCATGCACGGAAGTTGCATCATCCCTGAACAGCCAATCAAGATTCCTGAAAATGCCAAACTCTCAAGACAACTGGGCGAAGATGTCAGCGGTGTCAAGGGAGCTTGCAGATGTTGCTTCTCTGGAGGGGAGGCATGTGGACTTTGTTCTGCTTTAAGGCCGTACAAGTTTTAAATGATGTATGCCCTTTAAGTGTAACTTCATCTTTAATTATATTTTTTGACAAATTTTGTCAATGTGTTTTTCACTCTTCCCCCTTTTAGTGCTGAGTGACAGTTTCTCCTATCTCACCACCTCCCTTCCACCCACCTCCCAATGAGCAAGGTATAGTCACCCATCCATACTCTCTCATTGCTTCTCCCACTGTAACCTCGCTGTCTAAACTTGCCCGGGTGCATGAAACTCTTGCCCACACATGACAGTATTTGGTCCAGGTGATTTGGCCTTTCAGGCTTGTGCACTGCCATGTGTGAGGTCACTTACCACACCCCCCCCCCCCCATATACCTAGATATTGAGTTTACCTTACTTCTTATAATATATATTAGTAGGCACTATCACCTAGTCTCTTATGCTCATTAGGGTATTAATGTGTCTGTAATAGAAATTCAATACTTATCCTCTTCCTGAAAAGTCTAATTGAGTATCTATAATGCTGAATGTAGGTGACAGTGTGCGGAGACATGTTGGACCTAATTCTGAGAGGTATCTTTAAGCAGAAGAAGTATCAGTTTTGTTTTTTCATGTTTGGTGTTGATTATCTTTTGCAGAGATCAACAATCTCGACAAGGATTTAATTTCCCTTCCAGTTGCCAGTAGACCAACACTGTTTTTCAGTTATCCAGTGCCAGCTTTAATTGCCAGGACAAAGGTGCTAGCTGTGAAATGCACATACCTCAGGCTTTATACCATTGTCATTATATTTGCTGTGGTGTTAATTATGCCAGCCATAGATGAATTGAAAGCTGTCTGCTTCAGAAGGGACTGGTTGAGATTCAATCCATGTAGGAGCGGGTTCGTTGTACTTGTTGGATTGTTTACATATGATTACAGCTAGCGGCTATAGCCGCTAGCCGTAATTGTGTTTTACTGTCCAGAAAGGCTTCCTATACCACCCAACCCCTGCCTCCCCCCCCAACAGAACACAATAGCATTTCTACTTGTGGTGGAAGAAAAGAAAATGAAATCATCTATGGGTCACAAAAGACAAAATTCCATCTACGTGAAACAAATTGAATTCACAATTCTCACACAGATTAGCCTCTTGGCCATCATGCAAATCTATCTTGGTCCAGCTGCCTCTTTCTGGATAGCTGTCAGTGTAAAAATGCAATACTGCCTAGGGACCCTGCTAACTTCGTCTGTGACCAGAAAGTATAATGGCTCCTTCCATGCATAGTGGAAGGGCTTCCTGCAAAGGCTGGTACAAAAACTACAAAGAGGAGAGTCTGTGAGATATCAGAATGAAGAAGTGTTGACTGCAGTAGAGGGACAATTAATACACTATATTACATACATATATACACTACATTGCCAAAAGTATTGGGACGCCTGCCTTTACACGCACATGAACCTAATGGTATTCGCGTCTTATACCGTAGGGTTCAATATTGAGTTGGCCCACCCTTTGCAGCTATAACAGCTTTGACTTCTGGGAAGGCTGTCCACTAGGTTTAGGAGTGTGTCTATGGGAATGTTTGACCATTCTTCAGAGGCATATTTGTGAGGTCATTTGTTGAGGTTGATGTTGGATGAGAAGGTCTGGGTCGCAGTCTCTGGTCTAATGCATCCCAAAAGTTGAGATCAGGACTCTGTGCAGGCCGGTCAAGTTCCTCCACCCCAAACTCACTCATCCATGTCTTTATAGACCTTGTTTTGTGCAGTGGTGCACAGTCATGTTGAAACAGGAATGGGCCATCCCCAAACTGTTCCTTAAAGTTGGGAACATGAAATTGTCCAAAAATGTCTTGGTGTGCTGACACCTTAAGCGGTCCTGTCACTGGAACTAAGGGGCCAAGTCCAACCCCTGAAAAACAACCCCACACCATAATCCCCCTCCACCAAACTTTACACTTGGGACAATGCAGTCAGGCAAGTACTGTTCTGGCAACCGCCAAACCCAGACATGTCTATCGCATTGCAAGAGAGAGAAGCGTGATTCGTCGCTCCAGAGAACATGTCTCCACTGAATCTGGTGGTGGTGTGCTCTATACCAGTGTATTGCACTGGGTGATGTAAGGCTTGGATGCAGCTGCTCGGCCATGGAAACCCATTCCATAAAGCTCTCTATGGACTTTTGTACTAATCTGAAGGCCGCATGAAGTTTGGAGGTCTTTAGCTATCGACTCTGCAGACAATTGGCGAGTTCTCTGCACCATGCGCTTCAGCATGTGCTGACCCTACTCTGTCATTTTATGTGGCCTACCACTTCGTGGCTAAGTTGCTGTTGTCCTCAGTTGCTTCCACTTTGTTATAATACCAGTAACCGTTGATCGTGGAATATTTAGTAGCTAGGAAATTTCATGGGTGGACATAATGCACAAGTGGCAACCTATCACAGTACCACGCTTGAATTCACTGAACTCCTGAGAGCGACTGATTGTTTCATAAATGTTTGTAGAAGCAGTTTGCATGCCTAGGTGCTTGATTTTATACACCTGTTCTAATCGTGGTGATTGGAACACCTGAATCTAATGATTTGGAGGCGTATCCCAATACTTTTGCCAATTGTATGCAGCAAAATGCATTACAAGTAGACATTCCACTGTTTCCTACATGGCAGTTTCACATGTGTGTGCTGCAGTTTAATGTTTTGAAAGTGGAAACTATAGCCCTGTTCACATCCACGTGGGCTACTGTGAATTCAACCTTACCCTCTTGCTGCCTCTCAGCCTGAGTAAATATGCACCGACTGCCCCCCCTCATGCTTCTTACCATGTAAATTGCCAGAAAATCATCTTGAACAAAACGATTTCAGGAGGTGGGCCAATTGGCGGGAAGACTGAAGTAATCCTTTCTTCTGTCTGCATTAGACTGTTGACCTCATTATCAAAAACATTTCCCTCAGATGATTTTCCTGGTGCCAATCTATGGCTGCATACAGTAGTAGTAGCCATGCCTACTTCTGCCCACAGGATGAGTGCAAAGCTATAAGGTGTTAACGCCCACATGACAGTCTATTCTCTTTTTTTTGTCTTCATGAAAATCAAAACCAGTGTGAAGAGAAGAAATCCTTATACCTTTTTGGGATTTATTCGCTCTGGCTCAGCCTCTCCTGTAGCAAAGTCCATGACCTTGGGTCGAAGTAGTCCCACATAAAGCGAAAGCTGTCTTCCTTGGAAGTGCTTTACTTTTTTAGATTTTTCCCTGCCTGCCTCTCAAAAGGCGAGTGGATCCATGGAGCTGTAGCACTGCATTTACAAGACAAGTATACAGTCAGGTCCATAAAAATTAGGACATCGACACAATTCTAACATTTTTGGCTCTATACACCACCACAATGGATTTGAAATGAAACAAACAAGATGTGCTTTAACTGCAGACTGTCAGCTTTAATTTGATGGTATTTACATCCAAATCAGAGGAACGGTGTAGGAATTACAACAGTTTGCATATGTGCCTCCCACTTGTTAAGGGACCAAAAGTAATGGGACAATTGGCTTCTCAGCTGTTCCATGGCCAGGTGTGTGTTATTCCTCATTATCCCAATTACAATGAGCAAATAAAAGGTCCAGAGTTCATTTCAAGTGTGCTATTTGCATTTGGAATCTTGCTGTCAGCTCACAAGATGAGATCCAAAGAGCTGTCACTATCAGTGAAGAAAGCCATCATTAGGCTGAAAAAACAAAACAAACCCATCAGAGAGATAGCAAAAACATTAGGCGTGGCCAATACAACTGTTTGGAACATTCTTAGAAGGAATGCATCGGTGAGCTCAGCAAGACCAAAAGACCCGGAAGACCACGGAAAACAACTATGGTGAATGACCGAAGAATTCTTTCCCTGGTGAAGAAAACACCCTTCACAACAGTTGGCCGGATCAAGAACACTCTCCAGGAGGTAGGTGTATGTGTGTCAAAGTCAACAATCAAGAGAAGACTTCACCAGAGTGAATACAGAGGGTTCACCACAAGATGTAAACCATTGGTGAGCCTCAAAAACAGGAAGACCAGATTAGAGTTTGCCAAACGACATCTAAAAAAAGCCTTCACAGTTCTGGAACAACATCCTATGGACAGTTGAGACCAAGATCAACTTGTACCAGAGTGATGAGAAGAGTAT